ATGTGACTTACATATATCATGAGATGATTATCATAATAGATTTAGTTAACATTCATCATCTTTATAGATGCAAAAAAGAAAAACAGGGAATGTTTTACAAATCTGAGTGTCATCCTTATGCAGAACTAATCTTCTGTGTAATGTTCCAATTTTAGTATACACACTGCCAAAGAACATGTTCAACTTTTAATTAACTGAAATACCCTCATGTGATTCTTATGTGTAGCCAAAGATGAGAAACACTAGTGTGCCAGAATCCCTCTTACATCCTAAAAGAGTACTGATTGGTAGTCAGTAAATACTGTTGAATGACTTTCTCCATAAATTTCTTTGTAGCCCAACACAGGTGTTATTGTTACCAAGTCCAAAGACTACTGGGTGGATTAATGTAGTTAGTACCCTTTTGAAAATTCTGACGAAGTGTTTCATGGCCACAAGAAATATCACATCAACAGTAGTTCCTACACATGTTGAAACGTGTCCCCAGTGATTTATTAGTACTAATCATCTAAGTACTAGAGTTTCTGAATGATTTGCTTTGTAGATAAAAAAGTAGAACTGATTCAAGACTTTTCCTATCATAATGCCACATCTACCATGACATCTAGTAGTATTCCTATCATAATGCTAGTGCTCAGATACATTTTCTTGAAATAGAAGGAAAGGTGGTAATATCTATGTGAGTGTGTTGTACATATGAACATCTTCCATCTTATAAAGCATTGCTTAACCATCCGCTGATAACCTGGTGGGAGTTCCTTTGCATATGAGGGATGTTTTTTCTCTTGCTGCTCCATACGGCATTTCTGCCCAATATTTTCACACTTTCTTCTTACTGCCAGCAGTGCACTCACCACTCCCTTTCCTTGCCTTAAGCAGACATTGGATTTCGTCAACCTTGTACTCTTAAGTACCGTACAGAAAAATCCACAAAGACTGAAAAGTAGTGGGTATCCTGACTAGCTCATATCTATCTGGGTTATCTATGCCTTTTCATTGTCTTTGGCTAGATTATTTTGCAACTCTAAGAGATAGAAGTTGTAAAAAACTGATAGTTATGTAAGTAATTCTTAAGTATGAACAAATAAATTCTGTCAGATGGATAGTCAGTTGATTTCCCTCCACAACTATGAAGGAAACCAATTTTGCACCTATTAAGCCAGTTTATTTTAGCATTCTGCTGGGCTTCCATATTTATCCTGTCTTTGGATTCTCCTTTAAAGTGGTTATAACCCCTTTCTGGTTCCCTTGTTCACTAATGTGTTAAATAAAATCTTCGACACATGTTCACTGTACATTTGTTGAGGGTCATGATTTTAACTTTCTTAAAAAAACTATCCCATCCAAAAGGAGGAACATCGGCAACACAAAATGTCAGCCAGATTGTGGAGCAACGGGAACTCTCATTCATTGCTGTAGGAGTGCAAAAGGGTACAGCCACTTTGGAGGACTGTTGGACAGTTTCTTACAAAACGAAATATGAAATATACTCTTACATTACAACCCAGCAATCACACTCCCTGGCATTTACCCAAAAAAGGAGTTGAAAATTTGTGTCCAAACAAAAACCTGCACATGGATATTTATAGCAGCTTAATTCATTATTGCCCAAACTTGGAAGCAACCAAGATGTCCTTCAGCAGGTGAATGCTTCATCCAGACAATGGAATGTGATTCACTGCTAAAAAGAAATGAGCTATCAAGTCAAAAAGACATGGAGGAAACTTAAATGCAGATTACTAAGTGAAAAAAGCCAGACTTTAAAGGCTGTATGATTCCAACTATATGACATTCTGAAAAAAGCAAAAATATGGTGACAGTAAAAAGATCAGTGGTTGCAAAGGATTGGGAGAAAGGATAGATGAATAGGCAGAGCACAGAGGATTTTTAGGGCAGTGAAAATGCCCTATATAATACCATACTGAAGGTGTTACATATTTGTCTCAACCCATTGAATGTATACCACCAGAGCGAGCCCTAATGTAAGCTGCGATTTACGCTGTTTATGATGAGGCAGTGCAGGCTCATCAGGTTGTAACAAATGTACCCCTCTGGTGGGGGATGATAATGGGGCAAGTACAGAGTATATGGAAAACCTCTGTACCTTCCCCTCAGTTTTTCTGTGAACCTAAAACTGCTCTAAAAAATAAAGGCTTAAAAAAAACAAACCAAAACAGAATCTTTTAACAGTTTTTCACACAGAGCTTGGCACAAGGTAGGCATCCGATAAAAATTTGTTAATGATTAAACAAATGAATGAATTTAGAGAAGTAATGGTAGTTTTTGCCATGGATGAGTCGTCATAAAGGAAAGGTGTGGAATACTGTGCAATGCTTAGCCACTATTCCAAAATTAAAATCGAAATGGGAAAATTCCCTTAGTCCTTTAGGAGATGGCAGCAGGAAGGGCTTGCAGGCGATGTGGAGAGCCTTGTGGCTGAGGGTGCACTGAGTGGCCTCCACACAGAAGCTGAGTCAGAGGTCACCGAGGCTGCTGAGTAGGAATGAGTGGGAGATAAGAGATGCCACTTAAGTCTCAAGCCCCACTGTTTCCTTTCCCTCTGTTGTACACAAACCCAGGACCTGAACGTCTTCTCCTGCGCTGGGCCTTTGATAAACATGTCCAGATATGAAATAATGTTGTTCTGGCACTTCATTAGTTAGAGTACCATCTATAGTCAAACTGTACAAATGGAAAAAAAATCTATGAGTCAGTTTCCAGATTTCTGAGTGTTTTCAAGATTACATCAATGGATTTCCATAGAATGAAACCACAAGCTTCCTGCGCATTGTCTGGATTCACAAAGACCTAAGTCACTTTCAAGTAATGAGGAAGAACTCCCAAGAATATCATCTAAAGACATGCAGGAACTTTTAAGGGCATTTAGAAACCAGATCTCCACTCTCAATTTTTCTCCTGTCTTTTAGTATAAATGTTATAGCTGATATAGAAAAGGAAGCTGAATTACTGTTTATTACAGGTTCCCAAAATTAACATGGCAATTTTGAAAGTGTCAGTGTATGATGCATATACTTCTCCCAGACACTTTGTATATGTGTATATATTATATCCCATTAATTCTCACAATAATCATTTGAAGCAGGTGCTACTATCTTCCACTTTTTATAGATGTGGAAATTGAAGCTGAGAGGTTAAGCAACTTACCTAGAGTCACACAACTAATAAGTAACAGTATCAAGATTCAAATTCAGGGCAACTCTAAAAGTCACATTCTTTCTACTAAACCATGATGCCCCATAAGAGAACCAGAGGAGCGAAATTACTTTAGAGAAATATGAACGTTTGATTGGGAGGAGAAAAAGACCAGTCAAAAACTGTAATGCAGTCCAAGGTAGAGGTTGGAGGGTGGTGGATGGGGTGGCTGCATGGGTTATAAAATTGCTAGGTGCAAAACAGGGCCCCAACTAGAGTAAAATGAGAGAGGCACTTGTCTTGGGGCAGAGAACAGAAGCAGGGCATTGGGAGGGAGGCTTGACACCATCGCTACCCAACTGTGTATTAGATAAAGAAGCCTGTGATCAAATTGGGACGGATATTCACAGGGTAAATAAAATAGGTACCCATTTTAACCCATAGGCACATATGAGAAGCTGCATAAGCAATACCTTAAATGTTTTAAGACTAGAGACTCGTTCGCTAAATACTAAATCTCCGTAATTGGCACGTGCAGTTAATAGACTCATAAAATATTTGTTCAATGATTGAGGACAAAACAGGAAGGTACTGCAAAAGATTGGGAAGGTTTACTGAGTCAAACTGAGTCTGAAACAAGCTTTTGCATTTATAAGGATAATAATTAACATTTATCATCTATTATGTGCCAAGCAGAATTAAGTGCCTTACATACATCAACTTCCTTAATTCTGGTTATGTCATATACATTATACATTTTCAGATCCATTTTAACTGATGTGGCAGAGAATTAAGTAACTTATTTAAGATCATAAAACTAGAACCCAGCAGATTTTTCTGCATCCAAAGGTTATGCATTAAGCCACTGTACTGCATTCTGAACTCTGAATTTACACAGGGCGAAAAAGTAGAGTGACTACTTGTGCAATGTGGTGGAGACTATATGAAGCAACCACCAGGCCAACAAAAGGTGAGAATTTGCGTGCCCAAAATTATTGCTACAGAAAAATCCTGTTCTGTGTTGTGAAAAAGCTAATGGACCAGAAATTGGGCCAAGAAGCCTTGTATCTACAGACTACCTGCCTGGCTGGTCACGTTTCGTAAATTACTTGCTAAGATAGGGAGTGCAAGCTCCGGTGCGGTCTGCATGTATTACTTCATCTAACCCGGACTCTTCCAAGGAGAGCATCCTCTATAAGATTGCCTGCTTTGATTTACTAAGATTGTAGGTGTCAGTCTGAGTAGGAGGAAACTAGGTGATTCCAGCCAGAAACAATCATTTCCAAGATCTGATCAAGTTTAAATACATCACAGCCCAGTTTAAAAAAAAAAGTCTAGGCACAAATTTGGGCAATTTCCAAGAAGTACCTGGATCTCTAGCACCACTTCCCTTTGCAATGCCTACACATCCAATCCTAAAACGAAGAAGCCTGCGTTGAGGCTGCCTAGTGTGCGTGTTGGTGACGTTGCCGGGCACACGCAAGGCACTGAGTCAGCAGAGTACGCCCCCAGAGCAAGCGGCGGGGGGCCGGCGGTGGAGAGCCGCGCGCTCCGCTCTTTGGCGTGAAGCAACTCTCCTCCCACGGTCTCGGGAAGCCCCGACTCCGCAGGCTTCTTCGCCGTAGTGGAGCCGTCCGGGCGTAGTTCCTCCACCGCTTCCTCCTCCAGCTGCAACCACCCGAACCCTCTTGCTCAGCCAGGACTCCACCTCCCCAGTTTGAAGCGCGCGCCTCGGTCAGCGGGGCCTCTCGGCCGCGCGCACGCGCAGAGCGCGGCTCCCCGCGGCCCCGCCCCGTCGCGGTCCCGCCCCCTCGGCGTGGCTGGCGCGGCCGGCCGGCCCGGCTTCCCCCAGGCAAACCTGCCTGCGTGGGGTGGGGAGCCGAGCTTCCTCCTCTGCGTGCGGTGCGGGGCCGCCCGATTTGTCCTTCCGCCCCTGCCTCCGCGGCGCTTCGGCGAGCTAGGGGGCAGGCGGAAGGTGCGCTGGAGCCGAGGCGCGAGATGTGGCCGGCGGGAGCGGCGGCAGTCGCGGGGTCGCCGGCGCGGGACACGTCGCTGTGCGGCGAGCTGCCGCAGGCCCCTCCGCCCCCGGCCTGGCAGGCGGCCCCGGCCTGGCTGTCGCCTCTGGCTGCGCCCTCGGGGCCGCCGCTCCCGGCTCCGGCCGGCGCGACCCTCAACCGCCTTCCGGAGCCGCTGCTGCGGAGGCTCAGCGGGAGCTTGGACCGAGCGCCCGAGGGCCGGGGCTGGAGGAGGCTGGCCGAGGTGGCGGGGAATCGAGGGCGCCTCCGGCTCAGGTGAGGCGCGGGGGCCTCGGGGGAAGGCGCAGGGGGTCACGTGGGCGCACTGGGCAGGGGGCGCGCGGGGTGGAAGGAGCGCAGAGGGCAGGACGCGGGGAGCACGTCGGAGACCTGGAGGGAGCCTCAGCCCAACCCAGGGAAGTCCCGGGACTGCGGGAGACGCGAGATCGGACCCTGGCATACCCACCCTTCTGCTCCCCCTGAGGTGAGAGAAGGGGCTAGCTTTAGAGGACACAGAGAAAGGCAAACCATCCGGAGACCTTTATGATAGGGCAGCAGCTCCACAGGAGGGAAAATACGGTAGAACGGGACAGGACAGAGACCTGGAAGGCCTAAGGAAGGTGCCAGTGAACAGAGAATCTTCGAAGGCGAAGGGTTGAGGGCGCAGGAATTCAGGAAGGTATTTATGCAGGGAGCGAAGGGTGGTGGGAAAAACTGAAACTAAATTCATCGTGTTCCTCCATCAAACCAACTTACCCAAGCCCCTTCTTGACTTAATCACGAGCGCTGAACTCTTAAGTAAAACTATTTTCCTATTAGCGGTTTGGAACCGCAGGACTATCAATTTTTGAATTGTTGGTCTCAAGATTCTTAAAGACTCCTAAGAATTATTGAGGATCCCAGAGAGTATTTACTGTGGGTTCTATATGGTACATACACATAATATATACAGATATTTACAGTATTTAAAACGAATAATCCATTACATGTTAACAGAATAAACTTTTCCAAAACAAAAAGGTTAGAAAAGTGGCATCATTTTACATTTTGAAAATCTAAAATTTTCGCTAAATTGCAGAGAGCTGGTTGCTTTGATGTGCTTCTACATTGTTGCACTATCTCAAGTCATGTAACACTAGGTGCTCCCGTGTATACTCCTGAGCAAATGAATGAAAAAGATAAATGACATCTTACTGTTATTATGAAACACCATTTTCACCTTGTGGATCCGTGAAAAGGTCTCAGAAACCGCACTACAGGTTCCCAGACCACACTTCGAACTGCTACTCTCTGCCATTAGGATTTTGATCCATCATTGAACCCCTTCACAGTTTTCTCTAACTTTTCACATGACTAGACTTTGTCTTCCAGGATGATTATTTGTACACTTCTTTATAAACTCCTCGAGAACAGGAACCATCATTTAAGAGTCTATGTGTTACACATAGAACCTCTTTAGGCGCTCCTTTAAATTAAGGGAGTCATTCATTCAAAATTGTATTTTTTGAATGCCTGTTATTAGAAGTTGCAGAAGATTAAAAGATGATAAATATTTAGCTCCTATTCATAAAAGGGCTTATCTAGTAATGGACCAGCTATTCTGGGATATTCCAGACTATCACATATAACATCTAAATGCTGTGAATACTGAGTTTCTATCACTTATTAAGAACTTAGTGTATACCACTGTACTAAGTGTTTATACATATTATCCACTTGAAACCTCACAACAGCCTTGAGTTTCAAAGAGTTTGGGGTTAAACCAGAGTAATGATTTGGGATTATTTGGCCATACAGAGGAGTAATGGTGTGGGGATGGAATCAGGAAATGTTAAGCTCTCAAACTTAAGCAGACAAATGGCATACTTTTTTTGTGTTCTAGAAAAACACCTTGTGCTTTTTGGCTGTGCAAAGAAAATCCAAAATAACTGTCATTCTAGCTCCATAAATTTCTGAATTTCTAGGCTTACGATAATGTAATCTGGGAATTCCGAAGTGGGAAGTCACATAAGAGACAGATGGCATTTCTCTGGTCCTGCAGGATGGCAAAGGCTATTCAGACTAGACTGGTTGTGGTGGGGAGAGTCGGGACAATCCTGAAGGTTGGAGAACTGGGAAACAGTAAGCTCGTATACCTGTTGAAGCCAGAACTAAACTGACGTAACACATGGGTTAACACTGGGAACGTAGCTGAGGAGTGACAGCTCCTCCTTACCCTATATAAGACCAAAAAATGTTATTCTAAAGTAATTTCATACTAATGGAAGAAGAGCAGGTATGATAATAAAAGGTCCTAAAGATATTTTTTATCTAGTGTCAAAGGTAGGAACTACAGTGTGGATAACAATTGCCCTGAGGATGTGAAGTATTTTCTTCAGAGTCACTGGACTCATAGCCCTAAAATCTCAAAAGGTTGCCTGTTATGGTTTCTTTTCTTCCTTTTTTCTGACTATAAATTTTTCCTCAAACGAAATGAGAGTTTAATAAATAAACCTCAAGAGTCCATTCTGAGTTGTCCATCAGGAATTAATTGTGTTTTCAGATGGTTATTGATGACCCTGAATTAACCCTTGCATGTGGTGTGGTTTCCCACAACTATGTGCGTATGGGAATGCCTCGGATACAAACTCAGCCCTAGTTCCATTCCTAAATCATTAAGGTTGCACACCCTTTGCTGTCAGTGTGGACAGGCTCAGGTTCTGAGTGACTTGCCCAAGCTGCATAAATGCTGAGGTGGCAGGGAATGTCGGAGCCCCAAGATGACAGCTTCAAGAGGCTGTAATGCTGCCTAGGTCCCGTGAAGAAGGGAGCTTAGAGATGGAGCTGTGGAACATGGCCCAGCAGGAGCACTCCGACACCGCATGCCCACCGCAGGGAGGCGCTCTCAGCTGCGACATCACCCCCCCAGCAGTTTAAGATGGGGAGGAGGAGCGTAAGGAAAGATGAAAGGTTATTTCCTCCTAACTTTGTCTCTTTGGTCCCCATCTCCTCAGTCTCTGACTTTTGGAGCTCCTGAGGGCTGAGGCCTGAGTTTATACTTCACCTGATATCCTTCTGGGTGTTATCCTTTGTCACCTGACTTTACTTGTATTTGAGATTGCTCTCGAATCATATCTTCAGTCCGTATCTTTGCTTTGAACTTCCCAGACTGATTTGTGCCAATTCCTATCCGCCATCTCCTCTTGAGTGACTAGTAGACATCTTACACGTAACACGTCCAAAACTTAACAGGTCTTTCCGCATTAACCTTTCTCTTGCAATTTTCTGCGTCTCAGCAAATGGCAACTGCATCCCCTCAGTCATCGACGTCTAAAACATGTTATTCCTACTCCACATTTACTCACCACATCCATTTTATCAGCAGCTCCTCTCTGCTGTACCTGCAGTTCGTATCTTGAATCCAGCCCAGCTACCGCACGTCTTGGCCAGGCCGCCACAATCTACACTTAGCATTGGATTATTCCGGGAGCTGCCTAACTGCTCCTGAGACACCCCCACCTCCAATCTATTCTCAGTGTAGCAGGAAGAATGAGCCTTTAAAACATCAGATCTTATCCTTCCTCTACTCAAAACACACTGACTGCTTTTCCATCTCAGAGTAAAAACACCATTTAGCTACCATTGATTCTTAGACCTGATATCCTATTACTGTCTCTCTTCTTCCCTCTCTTCTAGTCACACTTGCTTTCTTGCTTTTCTTTGAACACAGTAGGGTCTTTGTAGATGATATACATATATGTCTGTGTGTGTGTGTGTGTATGTGTGTGTATCTCCTCTAGAAAAATCCAGGAGATTAGGGAATTTTGTTTGCTGCTGTGTCTTCAATACCTAGGAAAAATTAATCACTTTCAGGTGATTAATAAGTAGTTGCTGAATTAATGAATAAATATTCCCACGAATAAATATACTAAAAAGAAGCAAAAGAACCTTTAAGTTGTGCCTGGGTTTATACCCTAAAGGGTGTATAATATGTTCTATTTGATTACATATTTTTAAAAGTAAAGATAAATACAGATATTTTAAAAACAAAGTCCATTTGTTTCAGTAATAGTCCTTTAACTTAAATCAGAAATCCAAATTAGGACTGGTAGAAACCACTTGAAAGCACAGTCTTACAGGAATGTAACTAAAAATGGAGAGAAATAAAAGACGGGTATGTATAAACATCATCTCAACTGAAAGTCAGTGCCCATGTGGAAAAATCAATGAAAGGAGGTACAAAATCTTGTTTTTCTGCTGTGCCTTTTATTTTATAAGAGAAATCTTTGCCTACTTCAATTTGTTCTTTCTTCATTTGGGGAACAAAATGTCAAATTATTTTTCATCTTCTCCATGTCAATATAAAGCAATCAAATCATCACTTGGTTGCATTTGATGAGATGGCTTCTTATACTCATGAATCAGATTCTGATAACTTTTCTGTGTAATAAAAAAATTACATTTAGCATACAGCATCCTTATCTTTATAAATATCATATTCTAATTATTTTAAAAACTGATAATCCTTATATTGTCTCTAATACTGGTTCCTTGACCTGGGCATTACAGGGACTAATAAGAGAAAATTTTACAAAGTAGAGGACCAGTGGCATCGTCAGCTTTTTTTTTTTTTGCTACCATAGTAGTCCCCATTATTTCATAAAAGAAAGGACACTTTTACACTTAGAAAAATAGGAAAGACAGTCTTATTGTCCTTATTTTTATCATTTTACCAGGGACTTCTGATTGTGCTGCCACTGGTCTGCAGTCCAAAATTTGGGAGCGGTTGATCTATATATCATGACATTTAGCAAGAATAGAGCATTGAATATGCAAATTTAGCTAAGTACTTAAAGAAAGAATACCTAGTCAATATAGGGGCAGGAAGCCTTGGAGGACATTATCAGTTTACCAAAATAGTAGCTACCCAAAAATATTTTTACGAAAAAGCTTAAACAGTGTCAGAAATAAGCATAATTAAGAAACTAGCCTTAACATCCTTTTAATATCCCTGTATTTTTATTGCATAAAAACACCTCTTACTGAGTGCTTGTTGTTTGCCAAGCACTGTGCTATGTTCTTTTAACATGGATAAGTAATTTAATTATAACAGCCATATGAAAAAGGTGGTATTACTGTTGAAATTATTTTGGTTGGCTGCATTTTTTTTCTTTATGAGATAACCAACTTTATCTCAGAATTCTAAATCTTGGGTAACCATTACAGAAATGTTATGGTAGCCTTTTTTTTTAAATTAAGGTATCATTGATATACAATCTTACGAAGGTTTCACATGAGCAACATGTGGTTTCAACATTCACCTGTATTAATTATCAAGTCCCCACCCCACCCCATTGCAGTCACAGACCATCAGTGTAGTAAGATGCTATAGAGTCATTACTTGTCTTCTCTGTGTTGTACTGCCTTCCCCATAACCTACCTATATTGTGTATGCTAATGATGATGCCCCTTAATCCCTTTCTCCCTTCCTCCCCACACACCCTCCCCAACTCCTTCCCTTTGGTAACCACTAATCCCTTCTTGGAGTCTATGAGTCTGCTGCTGTTTTGTTCCTTCAGTTTTGATTTGTTGTTATACTCCACAAATGAGGGAAATCATTTGGTACTTGTCTTTCTCCGCCTGGCTTATTTCACTGAGCATAATGTCCTCCAGCTCCATTCATGTTGTTGCAAATGATAGGAATTGTTTTCTTTTTATGGCTGAATAATATTCCATTGTGTATATATGTACCACATCTTCTTTATCCATTCATCTACTGTTGGACACTTAGGTTGCTTTCATATCTTGGCTATTGTAAATAGTTCTGTGATAAACATAGGGGTACATGTGTCTTTCTGAATCAGGGATCTTGTTTTCTTTGGGTGAATTCCTATGAGTGGAATTACTGGGTCAAATGGTATTTCTGTTTTTGGTTTTTTAAGGAATTTGCATATTGCTTTCCACAATGGCTGAACTAATTTACATTCCCACCAGCAGTGTTCTAGGATTGTTGTTCCTTATCTTTTGGATGTTGGCCATCCAACTGATGTTAGATGATATCTCATTATGGTTTTAATTTCCATTTCCCTGATAATCAGTAATATGGAGCATCTTTTCATGTGCCTGTTGGCCATCTGAATTTCTTCTTTGGAGAAGTGTCTGTTCAGATCCTCAACCCATTTTTTTAATCGGGTTATTTGGTTTTGGGTGTGAGCTCTTTATGTATTTTGGATGTAATCCCTTATTGGGTAAGTCATTTACAAATATATTCTCCCATACTGTAGATGCCTTTTTGTTCTGCTGATGGTATCCTTTGTTGTACAGAAGCTTTTTAGTTTTATGTAGTCCCATTTGTTCATTTTTGCTTTTGTTTCCCTTGCCTGAGGAGATGTGTTCAGGAAACAGAAATGCTATGGTAGCCTTTTAATAAAACTGATCAAAATGAATGTGGATTAAGAATACTTCAAGTCATTCTATCACATCTTACTGTTCTGATAGTCAGTGACTGCAATGAGTGGGGGGTGTTGAGGACTTGATATGGGTGAATGTTGAAACCACAATGTTGTACATGTGAAACCTTCATAAGATTGTATATCAATAATACTTTAATTAAAAAAAGAAAGAATACTTCAAGTCATATGAAAGCTTGCTAACCTTGACTCTGATCTCTTCCACCTATCCAGGCTTCCAGGCTTTTCAGTTATGATTGAAATTCACTCAATAATTACTCAGTTATGAATAATTAATATGGGCAAGACAGATTTAGGTATTGAAGGATTGGAGAATATATATATATGTGATGGGGCTTCTGTTTATATAGTCAAGTTGGATAGAGAAGGGATGCTAATGAAAGAAAAGCTCATGGTTTGAAGGCAAAATTGTGTCAAATGAAACATATAGGACAGGGTCTGCAAACAACATCCCATGAACCCAATGCCACTGCCTGTTTTTGTACAGTTTATGAGCTCAGAATGGTTTTTATAGTTAAAAAATCATAAAGCAGAACAAAAAACAAAGAAGAATGTGCAACAGAGATTGTATGGGCCATAAAGCCTAAAATATTTACCCTGCATGACACTATACAGGAAGCGTTTGCCAGGCTCTAGTGTGGAAGATAAGCACCATTAGGAAACTGTCTAAAAGGTTTTTGATGGGCTGCTGTGGTCTGGGAGAGCATCACAGAGAAGCTAGAGTTTATACTACCCTGAAATTCAGACTGGCAGGAAAGGGAGAGAGATCCACACAGGCGCATGAGGTGCGAACGTGCAGTGTATCATGAGATGATATAAAGGTTTTGGCTGCCTCTGTTGTCGATAACATCTCTTGGGAAAAGTTTTGGGTTTTGTTTGTTGTTTTGATTTTTTTATTTTACTTGATTTTTTTCCTTCACTTGAATGGTTCATACTTGCCCTTCCTAGGAAATGATTGAAGTCCATACTCCTTGTCCCATTATTTATGGCTTTCTGCAGTCTGATCTTCGTCTTTCTAACATTGTATACCACTACTGGATGTGACAAGATTGAAAAGGAAATTGTACATGTATGTTAGATACTGATGCTAAAAAAAGAATAATTGAATCATCCAGCCATTAGCTCTGCTTCCCTGAATCCCCTCTCTAGGGCAACCACTGCTTCAGTTTCTTGGCTATCTTTTCAGAGTTACTCTGCATATAGAATACTTAATATTCTTGTTAATAAAAATAGTATATCATTCAGCATACACACTGTTCGGTATCTTCATTTTTTCATATGAATACATGTAGACATACGACTTGTTAATACAAAATACTATATGTTGATTTTTTTTTCATTTTTCGGTATCTCTTTTGGGTCGTTTTACACTTTACGTAAGTACAAGAAAAAGTAGAAATAAGTATATTCCTATTCCCCATTCCCAAATTAAAGGTGAAATTTTTGACGTTTTTGATCAATATCATAGCCAAATTTCTGTCACATCCCACTTCAAGATTTCTCCCATTGTCTTGATTTAGTAGTCATGGGAGCTGAGTTGGAGAAGGGAATAAACAGGAATCCCTTATGAATGCAGGAAGAGGAAAAAAGGATAGTAGCATTCATAATTTAAATAATTTTTCACCACTCAACAACTTGTGCTTATTCCCTACAAAACCTCTGATACTGCCAAATATATAGCAGGCATATCATATTGAAGAAAGTTGTTGACTTGAATTAAATTTGTTGTTTTCAGTTGTCTGGACTTGGAACAGTGTTCTCTTAAGGTCTTGGAGCCTGAAGGAAGCCCAAGCCTGTGTTTACTGAAGCTAATGGGTGAAAAAGGCTGTACAGTCACGGAACTGGGTGACTTCCTGCAGGCTATGGAACACACTGAAGTTCTTCAGCTTCTCAGCCCCCCAGGTAGGTTTTCCCCTTCGGTTCTCCCAAGAGTTCATAGGGACAGACTTAGAGGAGACTGTCTCATTTGACCACATCAGTTGTGTTAAATATTTTTGAAAAATGTATGGAGCCTCATTTTTTTCCCCAGGTTGATACTAAAGAACATGTAAAAAGCAAATGCAGTGCATAAGCAGTGATTGGATTATGGTCCAAAAAGCACATATAGAAGACATTTTGGGGACAAGTAGAACAATTTGGATATAACCTGCATATTAGATATTAGGGAATTATCATGTGATAATGGCATTATAGTTCTATAGAAGAATGTCTTTACTCCAAGAAGATGCGTGCTGTATTTAGGGGTAAGATTTCTATAACTTTTGTTGAAATTAGTGCAGCCAAAAAAGTAAATATACACATATTTATGTTTGTATGTCTAGGAATGAGATAAAGCAGGTATGACAAATGCTTACTATGTTTCACCAACTTGATGCTTTTGACATGTTGGTTGACTCAATCATATGACTTTTTTTTAATGTACCAATAGAGAGTCCAAGGTTTCTCACTTCCGATATCAGCTGTGACGAATAGAAACAGTCCCTCATCTCCACAACTACAGATGGAGTTAGCCAACTACAGTAGTGTTGAGCAGGAGGTACCATGTCCTCTCAGTCACCCAATGGCAATAACATTGCAGACCTTTCTCCAGGGGTCCAGTTTAGCATTAGGTCCCATTATAAGCAAAGAAGCCAGTCAAGATAAGGAGGCACGTGGATTAAGGACTTGATGCCCTCTATTTTACATTGTTTGGATGCATGCAGCTTTTATAACATAAGCGGCTTATTTGTGATAGTATTTTTAAGTTAACACAAGGAACCTAAAATTGTAATTCAGATCTTATTTTCTGCTTTGTCAGTTCTGGGGTTGGGGAATTAGAAAACATGGCAGTGGTGTGTTATCAATCACATGTACCAACCAGAAAACTCAACTCAGATCGGCATAGTAGAGTTGGTTCTCTAATTGAGAAGTCTTAAAGCAGGTTGGGCTTCAAGAAAGGCAGAGGGCAGCCCTGTTTCCAAGGAGTTTGCTCTTCCTTTCTTATTACTGGCTTCCTTTCAAGACAGACTTTCTACATAGTTGCAAGATATCTACTAGCTATTCTTTGCATTCATTTTTGTCCCAGCAAAAATACTAAGATTCACTCTAGTTAACTAATTTTGGTCACATGCCTGTCTCTTACACATGTCACTGAGGCCAGGGAGATGGAATGTGCTGGCTTGCCTGGCTTAGAGCCAGGAGTGGAGTTGGGTCAAGTCGACTTTCTAGAAACCATGTGGATCGCCAGACAAAAGTAGACCTGTTGGAAGGAGAGAGGGGTTAACGGATGCTGAGGAGATAACTAAAAAGTCTACTACAAATGGAAAAACCCCTAGATTAAGAGTTAGGAGACTTGGACTCTCAGATCATATCTGTTCTATAGGCTTAACGTAGGTGAGAAAATAGGCCTCCTGAAGTGCCTCCTTCGTGTAATACACTGTATCAGATGCTTGATATAAGTTTCTCGGTTCTGCTTCATCTCAAGAGGAAGGGGGTAGGAATAACCAGCTGCTAATGCAGACCCATCTAAATAAAATTGCTGTCTGTGACCAATCAGTAAACTTCTTAAGGTGACGTTTAGTAATTTTTATATCCCCAGTGCCTTGAAATCTGCCATGTAGGATATACCCAGTTAACTACTAAGTTCTCATACTTCATGGAAAACAGAGGCTTCTGAAAACTTAAGAAACTTATATGGGAAGTAAATATAACTTTTATATCTCATTATTTTTTTTAGTAATTATACTTAGCTACTCTGACCATTGGTTGCCAAGTCTGCAGAATGAGAGAATATTGCAGAGTTGCAGGAGCTACGTGGCATAATGCTGTGTTGAATTATATCAGTAATCTTGGGAAAAATCCTTTTCTGCTTTGTGTTTTTCTCCTAATAGGAGGATTAGCACTTTACTGTCAGTGTTTTCCTGCACAGCTTGTTCTAATATTTGGCCTGCAGGCTTTTTCAGAGGTATCCCTGGACTTTTTCACATTTGAGGGGAGACTAGGAAAAGTAGTTCTGACATTACCACTTAAGCACTGTTTCTGTGAAGTTTTATGTCATATTAGCCATTTGGTAGGCATTAGGAATTGGTTGTTATTACTTGAATGTTAGTGATTGATTTAAGAGGAAATATTTTGGGATCTGATAAAGCTCAGTAATTTCAGGAAGAAGTAATTAACTGTTAACTTTTTATCTGCATCTTATGTGGATAATCTAAAACTCACTGTACTTACGTATATTAGAAGAAAGAAATATAAGAATTATAGAGAACAATTCTAATATCTTAATAAGAATTTGGGAATAAAAATTATTGTAATTGTATTAAGAATGTAAGCTCTGATAGAATCAACTTAATTTGAGATTTTGCTCAGTCAATAAACATTTATTATATTCCAGCACCTGTACTACTTCAGGCATTGCACTTAGTACTGTGAATTCAGAGATGACTAAAACATTAGTTGCTGCCTGTTCAAAGTTCATAGTCTAGTAGGGAAGACAAACCTATAAATGATCACCTCCAGGACAGTCATAAAAACACATATATATAGAGGACGTCTTACCTGGTATCCAGTTTTTCCTCTTCAGTATATTCCTAAATCTTAGTGAAAATACAAAATAGAAGTGTTACTTATGTTTTCTTTTTTGTAGTAATGCAGTTACATAGGAGGACATTAGTTCCTATTCCACAGAAAATCCAGTGACTTTTCTCCAGTTGTCTTTAGAGGGGGTCTGTTTTGGGTGAGAAAGATGAGTTTTGTTAAAGATGATGGGAACCTTGGAACAGCCCTTTCAGACCTAAATGCAGAGAGAAGAGAAAACTTTAGACTGATTTTAGTCTTACTTTGCAATACTCCATTCCAGTCCTTTGTGGGATGACAGTGAGAGAGCCATAGGAGAGGGTCACTGTATGGAGTTTCTCTGTTTCTGAGGAACTGACCAAGTTTCTTTCATGTGCTTGCTCCATAGCCCTAAAGTAGCTGGGGCCACACTCCCCCCTCTAGCTGGAGTGAGTCCTTTGATTAGGAGCCAGCCTCACCCAGCATGAGGTCTAAGCTGAGGGGAACTCACCCCCAAATTCTTGCTCTCTGTTGTCTCTCACACTCATGTGATTCCTGAAGGAGCTCATAGATTGAGGTCCATCCTTTCCTGCTTTCTCTCCAGGTGGGCTTTCCACAGCACAGGGGTCGGCCAGCTTGCCCCTCAGTCTGGTCTTGCCTGTGCTTCGTGTTAAGATGCTTACAGTTTTTAATGTGTGGATGGTGTCCATTCCATCTTCTAGCACTTGATTAATTGTTCCCATTTGTATTACTGTGGTCTTCTCAGTGGGAATTGGAGGTGGTGGGATGTTGAATGAATTGCTAAAATTGTTTGAACTAGAAGCCCATAATAATTTTTTAGACTTCTATTCTTTTCATTAAAAAATCAAAAACTGATCCCAAAGCAGCCAGTATTGGCATCTGTATCGTTCACAAATGTAGGTAAAACTTTAATGTGCGGTTCAAGATGTTTTTATTTGTTTCTTTTGTTTTAAGTGAAAACATTTTGAGTGCAGATTTATCTCTATCAAGTAGAGTTAATGTAAATCAAGAAATGGTTATGAAAGAAGTAATGCTGTGACTTGGAATTGGTTAGGCAGAGGCTAGACAACGGGGATATTTAGAGAGAATTAACATTGCATATGTGAGTTTCATTAGATGAATTCTCAGGTTCTTTCTGACTCCGGTTCATGATGTTGCCATTTTATTTCCTCCACCATGCAGGAGGGCGTACGCTTCGCTCTCAGCACGGCCTGATGGCGATGGCAGACTCCTGTGAGGTCTCTTCGGTGGCGCCTTCCATTTGTCTCCACCTCTTTCGATGTCATTCCACTTCACTTTTTTCTTTAATCCTTTGTAGCACAGTTACTGTTCTGTTTCTGATATCAACTTTATTTTTTGTTACTTTTATTGTCTCTAAGACAAGAGCAAAGATATTATTATTCGATTTCCAAAATACCTTTACTTCACATTTTATCTTCACAATTATATGAAGCAACAGAGCAGTACCATTAGAAGCCGTTTTAAATGTGAGCAAACATTTGTGTGGAAAATGAGATTTCCAGAAGTTATCATTTCTCCAGAGTTCCAGTTATTGACAAAAGTAGATTAAAACCCAGGTCTGCTGACCCTGTCCTGAACACAGTGTCATTTCCATAGTGCTTGGAAAAATAAGGGTTTGGGAAACTTAGCCGTGGAGATTATTTCCCCCATTGCCTCTTTGACCCCTGGACTTCCATTTTTCTTGCCAAATTGAAAAACACTCAAATACTAGATCTTACTTATAAGAGACTTTTTTTGTTCCGTGAACAGCAGGAATTCCTGGGGGGAAAAATGTCAAGACGTGAAAAGAGGCAACGATGGTGTGGATGAGAGTAATGATTAGGAGGAAGTAGGGAGAGAGAAAGGGAATGGCAGGTGAGGCTCGAGAACGCATTTCCACCCTGGGAGCTCAAGGTCACTGGGCGGGCAGGTACAGGGATGGGCATGTGAGGAGGAGGTGAGCTTGCACAGGGGGTGCAAACGTAAATTGACTTGTAAAGCAACAGACATGGTCATACTTCGCTTGTGTGATGGGGGAGATTGTTGAAGGAAGAGGAGTGGTGTTTATTCTGGGACAGTCTGGGTACTTCTCAAGGATAGCTTAGACATTTTCAGAATAACTTTGAGGAAGAGTTTTAGGTGGAAAAAATGTTCTAGTTCATGGCTTCTGAAAACATGCACTGTAATGTCTACAATAGATCTAATCCCAGAAAAGCTGTTTGTAAATTACATCAATATTTAAGCACGTCATGAGAGATGATGAGTCCTTTTGTCAAGTCAGGAATCACAAGTTTTGTAATTTCAGCAGGGTTTTTCATTTTATTGTTTAAAATCATGTATCTGTGATC